AGAAGATTATTTTCAGTTTTTAGAATTATATTTTTTGTGTGAAACAATAGGGAATTTGTGGAGGGAATTCCACCAATTTCATTGAGTAATGGAATACTAGACAGCCATTAAATATTTTATTGTAGGGAATTTAAGTTATATTTGGGAATATTAACAAAACAGTAGACATGCATAATCCTAATTTTATAAAAATAATTTTTTTTAAGACTGGGGAATATGCACAAAATTGATAATATTGGTTATATCTACCAGTAATGTTATCAGTGATTTTTATTTTCTTTGTTTTTTCCTGTGTGTGTCTAAGTTTTTACATGGGTTTTTGAAATCAGGAAAAAGTTATTTACAAAATTAAAACAATTCTCCCAGCATCCAAATCTTGGTTTCCGATACCACTCTTCAATAATAGAAACTACAGAAATGATTGATCTAATCTAGGACTAGGGTAGGGAATATACAAGATGATCCTGAAGCATCTTGTAGTACCGGCAAGTAAGTGCTCAAAGAAACAAACCATAGTGTTATGTCAACAGGACATAGGAGCCAACTGAAAGAGTCCCCAGTAGTCAAAGCTGGAATGATTTGAGAAAAAAAATAAATAATGTAGTATTGAATTATATCCCAAAGTAGAAAATAATTATTCATGTGCTTATGCTGATATAAATAAATAATTGGATAAATAGTTAAGTGGGTGAGAATAGACAAATCTCCTGGGCAGAAGTAGCCCAAATAATTTATGTAGTTGCTCTGCCCACAAAGAGGTGGATTATAATTCCCACTCCTTAGGTGTGGACAGCACGTAGTGACTTCCCTTGAAAGTGTACAGTATGGGAAGGGGATAAGAAAGAGTAGCTTTACTGTGGAGAAACCTGACCTCAGCCAAGTGATCAAGGTCAACATCAACAGAGATAAGTCATCCTGATAGTATGATATGATGAAAATGATACTTTACCTCTGTGGTCTTTCTCCCCAAAACCCATAAACCCAGTCTAAGTATGAGGAATACATCAGACAACCCCACACTGAGGGATGTTCTACAAAACACCTGACCAGTATTCCTCAAGTCTGTCAAGCTCATTAAAAACAAGGCGAGTTGAAAAAACTATTACAGTATAGAAGATTCTAAGGAGACTGACGACTAAATGTAATGTGGTGCCTGGATGGGATACTAGAACAGAAAAAGGACATTAGATGAAAACCAAGGAAATCTGAATAAAGTATGGACTTTAGTTAATAATAATGTATCAGCATTGGCTCCTTATTTATGACAGATGTACCACAACATTGTAACATGTTAACAGGAGGGGAAACTCAATTAACTATTCTAAACCTAGAAGTTTATTTTTTTTAAAAAGGAAAGCAGTTACTTAACTAATATTTCTTTTTTTTTTTTTTTTTTTTTTTCCAAAAAGATGACCGGTAAGGGGATCTTAACCCTTGACTTGGTGTTGTCAGCACCACGCTCAGCCAGTGAGCGAACCGGCCATCCCTATGTGGGATCCGAACCCGGGGCCTTGGTGTTATTAGCACCGCACTCTACCGAGTGAGCCACGGGCCGGCCCTACTTAACTAATATTTCATCAGTCTTACTTTTTAAAAGGTTTGAATAACATTGGAGACGTTCTGTAGGATAAATTTGCAATTTCTAGTGTTTATTTTCTGACCCAGTTTTCTCAAAATATGAAGTTCTTGTTGCATAATACTGACTTTTCATTTGGGAGACCCCTTGCTGTCTGCAGCATTCTGTGGCTCATTCTGGAGAAAGAATTTTCTGGTGAGGCTTCAGGGCACCAGTTTGAATATAGATGAGGAGACAAGTAATCTGAAGAGCCAAGATTTCATGTATGTTTTCCCTTTGCATAACATAAATACAAAGGTATTTATATTATAAATTACCATGTAAGTGTTCGACATGTATAAAGGTATTTTGTACTTGGCGGAAGTAGTAGATGGAAACAAGTGAGTATCTCTCGCCCACTGTCGAGCTGGGTGCCCAGCCACAGTGGCCCAGGGCAATTGCTCCTTTCAGGTGACTGATCCAAAGACACTTGATCAGGTGACTGTAACCACACCATACTACACACCACACCATACTACACAATGTACATGACCAGCACAGTAATAGATACAGACATTGAGTCGAATGGCTTAGGGATTGCGAACTACTGGCCTTTTTCTAAAGATGTTACTGAAAACACTTATTGAGGTTTGTCAAAAAATTAATGCAATTCAGATGTAAATAGTTAAACTAAAATGAATCAAGGTTAATATTTTGTGTGTGGTCAATAACGTGACACTTTTGTTTTATTATGCTAGCTATAAAGTCTTAAAAAGAATAGGCTAACAATTTTTTAAATATTTAAATAATGAAATATTTCATACATACCACATTTTAAAGAAAGAAAATGTTGTAGGTACAACTAAAACCTCACTTTCTTAATTTCTCTACGCCTTCCTTCACAGAAGTAACCTGTTGTTCTGATATAGATGTCTGTTATTTCCAGGAATTTTTAAATAACTTCACTGTATATGTAATGTTGTATATGTGTGTATATGTATACATGCATCATATACAAGTGTATATAAATATATATTGTAACGCGTTTGTGTATATACATATGTATTAAACAATATATATTGTTATTTTTGATGTTGTAATAGTTTATTAAAATTGTATACCAAACAAATATCTTGTCAGGCTGAAATCTCAGATTCTTCTTCCCAGTCCTGTGCAGGTCCTGAGCCAGGTAATCAAAAGAAATAAGGAGCAACCACCGGCAAAGTAAACATGCTTTATTTTTAGACACTTAGACGCGAGCTCCTCCCAGCTGCGGTTCAAAGCCACTGCCTTCAACACTGAAAGTACACAAAATAGCGGCCCCGAGCCAAGGGGTACACGGGAGCACATGCACACTAACTCTACTGCTGCGTAACTTGTTTACAAAGGATGTGCTGAATCATACCCAGCGGGATATGAAGCGAGGTTGCCTGGCTATATGTAACTTTTTCTTCTCATTGATCGTTACTGACATTTGTGGTGATAAATGCAGATCTAGTTCTTTCATTTTAACCACGTTATAATGTTCCGTTATAGAAAAATAAGCCAATTTGTTTCCATGTCCTTGTGGAAGAACAAGTGGTTGTGGCTTGTATACTTCTTTTTGCTATTTGTGTCCACAGTGATCATTCTTTTATGTGTCCTTATGAACACATACAAGAATGTCTTTAGAACTGAATTTGTGGGGTTACATGTGTGTGCCTCTTCTGTCTTAATAGATATTGCCAAATTGCTCTCAGTGCTTATACATACATACATGCAGTTTGTGCATTTCCATTTCTCCACATCTCTGAAGAATCTTATCAGACCCCACATCTTATCAGACTTGTTCATCTTTGCCAATTTTATGGGTATAATACATTTCCCTGATTATTAGTGAGATTGAACATCTTTTCTTATGTTTGGGTTTCTCGGAAGTTTTATCAAGAATTGCCTGTTTGTTACCTTTAAGTGGGCTGGTGTTTCTTGAGGTCAAAGACCCTTGGTCTTAGACCTGATTCCTCAGGATATATAACAAAAGAATACTGCATGCTGTCATAAAGTTAAATTGGATGTGGGTTAGAAAAAGAGTATAGTCTTTTTCTGTATTTAATATTTGTTTTACTTACTTTTAAGCCATTTGATTTTCTCTGTGATAAACATAGTTTTACAATACAATCCAGCAATTGTGTTCCTAGATGTTTACCCAGATGACAAAAAAATTTTCTACACAAAAACTTTTCTACATAAAGTTTTATAGCAGCCACATTCATAATTACAAAAAACTGGAAGCAACCAAGATGTCTTTCAGTAGGTAAATGAATAGACTGTGATATGTCCATACAGTGGAATACTATTCATTGACAAGAAAAGAGCTGTCAAGACATGAAAAGACACGGAGGAACCCTTAAATACATATTGCTGTGATTCCAATTATATGATGTTCTGGAACAGGCAAAACTATGGAGAGAGTAAAAAGATCAGTGGTTGCCAGGGATTTGAGAGGGAAGGATAAATAGGTGGAGGACGGGATTTTTAGGGCAGTAAAACTATTCAGCTATTCAGTATGACACTGGAATAGTAGGTTCATGCCATTATACATTTGTCAAAACACAGAATTGTACAACACAGTGAACCCTAATGTACGCTGTAGACTTTAGTTACTACTAACATGGTATATCAATACTGGTTCATCAGTTGTAACAACTGTATCACAAGATGATGCAAGATGTTAATAATAGAAGGACCTGGGTGCAGGGGAGAGGGGGTATATGGGAACTCTCTACTATCTCACTAGTTTGTTCTGTAAACCTAAAAGTCCTCTAAAAATTAAAGTCTATTAATTTTTTTTAAAAAGCACCTCATTCTTAAATTCAGATTTTTACCAAGTATACCCAAATACAGTATGTGGAACAATAATTTTTTAAATAGAAACTTTTTTAAGATTATTAATTATCTTTTATTTATGAAATCTAAATTGTTGAAGCTCTTTCAGGACTACTACTTCCATTTCCTGTAGATCTGTAAATAAGTGCAAAGTTCATGTTAAAAATCATTTAATTCCTTATTTCTTTCTTAAGAAATACAGTGGAATAGAGTATTTATTTTGTATGTTTTCCTTTGTGTGTGTGGTTAAATAATTTAGAGCAAAGATTTTGTATATTACTGTATTGGAAATCTTTCCAAATATTGGAATAGCTAAAGTAATCTGGGATGTTCTTCTTGATGCTTATAAATTCTTTATAATATAAAATACTTTCTTTCATTGCTTGGTTCTAGGACATTAATTCTAGGGCCTCTCTGAAACTGATATGCCTCTTAGAACCAGTGACATCATAGATTCAGTGAAATGTGATATTTGGAATAAGGCTTCAGAAGAAGGAATTTAATAATTGTTACAGAATCATTACAATATTTTAAATGATGTTATGGGATCTTTCTGATTTTTCTCATACCTGTCTTTCAGATGCTCTTTGTGTGGGTATGTATGCAGCCATCCTCCCTCTTTGAAGTCTCATATGTGGAAGCATGCAAGTGACCAAAATTATAACTATGAACAAGTAAACAAGGCTATTAATGATGCAATTTCACAGAGTGGCAGGTATTTGATCCTACCCCCTCCCTTTATTGCTATACATAAATTAAAGCTGGGATTAAATCTACTAGTCCTACATTATAGACAACTCAAGGTTTGATGCGTCTTGTTTTGTTTTTAAGAGTTCTGGGGAAATCCTCTGGAAAGACTCTATTAAACAGCAGTGAAGACAGAACTGATCCTATCACTGGAAGTTCAGAGAATTTGGTGTCATCTTCAGAGCTGATTTCCCAGACTTCCAATGAAGTTATAGGTCCCAACGAGAATGAGAAAATGAGCCCTACAAATAATACCTCATATAATTTAGAAAAAAACTCCAGTCTTGCCCCTCCTGGTATGGAATATTGCGTTTTACTGTTCTGTTGTTGTATTTGTGGTTTTGAATCAACCAGCAAAGAAAATCTCTTGGATCATATGAAAGAGCATGAGGGTGAAATTGTAAACATTATCCTAAATAAGGACCACAATGCAACTGTAAACACAAATTAGATGGAATAATTACTTGAAGAGGAAAATGGTAGAAGAGGATTCCTTTAAACCAGTCTTACCTTTGAGCTGTCAAATAACTTACCAGACACAGATGAAATAGTTGGGGTGATTTTTGAGGAAATGACAGATGTGACTTTGGAGCCAGACTTTTAATGCAATAAAAGGAATTCCACATGGATAAGCAGTAATGATATTTAAATATTTTGAGTGAGGAGAAATTGCTTAAGGAGGAAGCAAAGATATAATCCTGTATTAACCTTCTGTCATCCCTTCTTAGTGTTGAGTGTATTTATTATTAAAAGCTTATTATAGTGTAGAAATGCAAGGAAAAGAACTAAGAAATGACTTTTCAGGAACTATTCTGAAACTTACTGTTATAAAAGTGTCACATTCTTCAGAGGTTAGTTTTCTTCATTCTCACTTTCAACATGCCAACTATAGAATGACATGCCTCTTGTGAGAAATGGGAGGCTGCTCTCAGAGGGTTCTTTTTGGTGTCACCAACAGTCAACAAGGAAACAGTTAATTAGAGGGCTTTAAAATCTTTCTCTAAAGTGATAGGAATTAATCATATACTCAATCTAAGATATGTCCCTTTACTCGTTAAAAAAGAAGAGACCTCTAAATCCAAATCTGGATTATAAATAGGCATTTAAGAAGTAAATTATTGTCTTAAACTTACAGTGGGTTTCTTGTGGGCAAAGGAGGAAATAGGTGAATTCCCACTAGACTGAAACCAAATCTCAAGTTCATAGAAATGGTAACTCGTTGAGCCCAGTGCACTTCTCAAAGGTTCTCTTCCGAGTGTTTGACAGAGCATGGCACACTTTCTCCGTAGTTACTTACACTTTCTAATCCTCTCTGCTAAATGAGATCACACCTGCTATCTGAAAGAGTCTCTTAAAGCAACAAAGTGATAATTTGCATTTGATCATCAGGCCTTGGAAATAATTTGAGCCCTGAGATAAAAATCACTTGGGAGATGAGGAGTGAAATTCGTCAGTCCCTTAAAATGAGTACTGCTACTGAGATCTTCATTCTCAGGTTTTATTAATTTAGTTATATTTAGCAGAAGAGGAATAACCAAATGTGACTAAGATATAGTAAAAATTTAGGTTATTTGTAAAAATTTTAATAACTCACAGCATTTGGCAAGTCTATAGGATTTCTCCTATCTAGGAAATTTTATTTCCTTAAGAGTGTGATAGGACATATGGAAAATCAACTAAGAAATGCTTTTGCATTAAAACTCGCCATCAAAGAGATTTCATCATCTTGTTAATTACACATTTTGTGTCATAATTATTTCTAAGAGTGAAGAAAACGGGGGTTTTGCTTTATATTGTTTTGTTAAATTCTGTCTACAAGTCAAAATGCTGGTGCACAGTTCAGTGCACCATCTTCACGGTGCTATTTCTGAATATCTGAATATTGATTTCTAACATCTAGAATTGAGGCTGTGACTCTGATAAACTTAGAGCCTTGAAAACAGAGTTTTTTGAATGGGATACTGTGTAGACAGGCTTTAGGAAAGAATTCTGTTCCCAAAGTCCAGGTATGAATTGAAGAATTAATATTTTTAAGATAGTATTAGGAACTACTTTAGTGGGGCCAGGCATCTTTAAACATTGTCTGATTTGTTGTTTTTTTAATCTCATTTTGATAATGATATTTAAATAAACAGAATTTATTGTAACTGCAGCTCTTTGATTTAGATAGCTTTAATTTATTTATGAAAGTTAATCCATTTCTGATATGTGGTTTTTAGAAAGATAAAGTGAATTTATATATACTAAATTATACATTTATATTTAATTTCAAAATCAAATCAAATATTTTAAATGTTTCCATTATTATCACTCATATTGTTGCCATTTATATTGTAGGTCAATTTTTTCATTGCTGGTTACTCTGACTTGGTATTTCTTTATAAAAATCTGTTATTCTGAAAATTAGCAACCTTAGAAGAATTTTGTTTTATCAATTTTCCTTGGCTTTAATTGTATGTAATCATTTGGAAAATATTAATAACCAAAAAAGTTCAGTAGTGTGAATTTTCAAATTACTTTTCTTCATTTCTTTAAACCACTTCTGTTGGTTGTTACTTAAATTTTCCTTTTTGAATTATGGGCTTAAAAATTCCCCTAGTTCATGGGGGAAAACTAACCCAGAAGTTCAAAGTATTTAATCTTTCATCTGATTCTGGCCTTAGAATGTCCTTAAAATCTTTCTCCTAGCCTGTAGGAGGAACTATATACCAAGGATGTTCTGTACCTTCCCATTATTGTATTGTGGCAAGCCTTAAGTTAAGTGTCTCTACCAAGAACAATGTTGAGTTTTCTAAGAGTAATAATGAAGATTAAATATGCAATTGTAATTGTTAAAGAGATAGCTATTAAAATAATCAGTAGGAATTCCCTTTATAGGAGAAACTTTTATTTGTACTAGATTTTTTGTCATACGTAGCTCATAGTATTTGTTTTCTCTCTGAACACTTACAATCTAAGATATGATAGTGAAAATAGTTTTTAAAAGAAACTTACTGGATACAGCAAAGGTGGGGAGGAAGAAGATGCATTCTGATCATTATGAATACTTTTCAGAGCTCTATCATTTTCTTCCTTTCTCTAATAATCTAGAATATGGTTGATGTCCCCAGTGTTCCAACAATACCATGCTTATATTCCATTTGATCTGTAGACTAAGTTCTGCAACTAGACAGTGCAATGTACACAGTCTGAAGCCTTTGTTCCAGGTCTTTCATTCTATTCAAGGTAGCTGTTGGTGGTTTCATAATTATTTTCTCTGTTTTTTTCTCACAAAACAAATGGTGGGCATCCATGTTTACATGTATCTTCCTGCAGCATACTTGGCTTGACAAAGATAAGCAGTCTTCTCTATTGAGACATTATATTTTTAGTTTTCATAGACACTTATTTAATCTTTTTTTATTGTACAGCAAGGTGCTCTAAGTAATATTCTATAAAATATATTTAATAGAAATTTGAGTTTGATATTCATGAACATGAATACATGTATTTTTTTAAGAAGTAAGTATTGTGTAACACTATGGCATTGCTTCTATAGCCAAAGTATAAAAATTTCTGGAACACTGACATGTAAAGACTACAGTTAATTCTGACACTGTATCTTATTAAAATAGGATGATTTGCATTTTGTAAAATTATCCTGCACATTGAGCTGCATGCCTTAAAGCAAAACTCTAGGATTGTGTTCATGGTAGAACAGTTCATCTGTTCAGAACAGTGGAGCAAGGTCTATATCGCTTCTTTAACTACCTTTGGAAATACTGTACAATGTTAGAATAATTTATTTTGCTTTACAGGAGTTTGTCATGTATTGACTTTAATATTGTATTTTGGTAATAAATTTTTTGTTAAAAACATTTGCCTCTAAGTTTTATTAACAGCAGGCTATGAACCTTCTTATCTTGGAAATGTTGATTTGATTACTTAGAAAGTTGTATTTAAGTACTTAAAAGCTTCCCAAGGGTTAAACTAAGGCATATGATTAAACTTTGGTAACTTATTAAATTATTGCTAACTAGCATTAAACTCTGTTACACAAAGATAATTGAAAAAGCATTTACCTTTTTAAATCATTTTTTAAATTCTATCTCATTTTGAAGTTTTTTTTCCTTTATGCTACACAGTTCATTTTATCTTCCAAATCGCGTTTATATGATACGCTTTCAATTCTGTTGTAGTCAAAGTGCTAAAGACTAGTTCTGCTAATGACAATTATTAGCATTCTTTATTGAAGGCCAAAGATTACAATAATTTGTTCACACCTTGGGTCTATATCAAATATCTTTTGATATTAGATTTGTTTCATTGGCAAGTGACACTACATCATCTGATTGTATCATTTGTCTGGTTATCAGTTTGTGCCCCAAAGTCCTGGACCTCCTCAGCTTAAAGTGACTGAGGCCAAATATTTCGTCCCAATATCTGTAATCTTTTGTCCTATCTTCCCCAGAGGCAACATCATATCCCCTAGCTTTCAAGAACCAAATCCCAACACTGTGTCATTAAACTCCAAATTCACTGTAGAAGTCCTCGCTAGGAAGGTGTGGAACACGTGGTCCATTTTGGTAATCACTAGATGCGTGGCTATTGAGCACTTGAAATATGGCTAATATGCTCTACGTGTAAAATACACAACAGTTGCGAAGGCTTAGTACAGAAAAGAATGTAAAGTATCTCATTAATAGTTTTTATATTGTTTACATGTTGAAATGATATTTTGGATATATTAAGTTAAATAAAATATATTATTAAAATTAGTTAACCTCTTTTTTTTTTACGTAGCTACTAGAAAATTTTAAATTATATATGTGGCTCACATTATATTTCTTTTGGACAGCCCTGGTATAGAAAAGAGATTGGCAAACCATGACCCTCACTTCATATCCAGCCTGCCACCTGTTTTTGTAAATAACGTTTTATTGGAACACAGCCACACCCATTTGTTTACATATCATATATGGCTATTTTCAAGGTACAGCAGCAGCACTGAATAATTGTGACAGAGACTGTAGGGCCCACAAAGCCCAAATTATTTACTGTCTATTTGGTAGAAAAGGTTTGCTGACCTCTGTACTAGAACAGTGGTATAACCTGTACTTTAAAATCTACCGGAAAGAAAAAGCTTTTTATAAAGAGAACTTTTTATAGCAGTGTTTTATAACTAAGTTATATTGTTTCTCAGTGATTTTTACAGTCTACCTGCTCTTCTACAGCTCTTATCCTTATGGCTTTAACCCAATTCACTACTTCATGATCTGATATTAAAGTCAAACACAATTTGTTTAAAATAACACATAATTAAATAATACATAATGCTGCTATAAAAAGTATCATTTTCCTTCTGACAACTTTACAGTGTCAATGTTAGCCCTCACTGCTTCACCCTTTCAGTGCTGTGGGCAGTACAACTGATGATGTCACACCACCTGCATATGTAACCATGGTGCAAGG